GACAGCCCACCAACCGGAGTGCCCAGCCGGCCCAAATATATGCGCTCCCAGACACTGATTGAAGCACGCCATGGAGTAGGCGCCGGTGCCGGAGCACCTGTTTCGCCAACGCCGCCAATTCAACGCATTCCCAAGTCGGCGATGGGCCTGCCACTGGTCACTGGGCCGCAACGGCATGCCCTGACGCTGCATCGACTGGAGGACTTACTTAGTTACGGTATTAATGGAACTTTCTCACCCTGCGCCTCGGCACGACGACTCTGCCACCTGCTGATCGATTTTGTGCGAATGATCACCTCCGCACGTCGCAAAACCCTCGAGCAGCGCGAACTCTTTTATAAGCTGTCCACTGGCCCGGATGGGGTCAAGCGAGAGGTGCAGCTGAACCGCATGCAGCACAGAGCGGCCCGCAAACGAATCGTTGACAGCAGTGCATTCAGTGCGTTGCCTGGCAAACTGGATCACGCCACTGTGCTGGCCTACACCGTAGGTGGTGCAACAGCATGCGATGCTGATGAAGCTGATGCAAATAATGGTGGCGGCGGTGGCAATGGGAATGTGGCACCATTACTGCAGTCCAAGGAGTTCAAAGAGACGAATTTTTAAGCTATCCACACTCAAACGCGATTTCATCACATATTATATATACATATTCCCATAAATACGTAGTTTTATACACACAAACACACACACATATATAAATATGTATTATTATTTACTTGGTATTCGTGAAGCTTTTATTTAAGTTGTTGATTTTGATTTTTCGAGTTTGTCAGCCATCGTATATAGCCATTTTTGAAATGCACAAGCAAAACGACAAATTGCCTCAAATGTTTTAAACTACCAAAAAGTAAACAATTTTATATAAATGGATCAATGTAAACCATATTTTTACACCTTCATACCTTAGCATATGCAACACTTACATGCAGCAGCTCATTGTGAATTTGTAAATTCTAATAATTGAAACAGTTTTTATGCAACCAATGAAATGCACTTTAAGGCGCTGCATGTGAACATCGTAACGCACAGCTTAAATGCAATAAATAGGGGCTGTGCAAAACGGGCCTAAAGCAATCGAAATTGAATAAACGCATTAAAAACAAATCTTAATCTCTTTTCAATATTTATAAAACTTTAAGTTAAGTTCATTTCAGTTCCTTACGCATCCAAATGCATTTTGCAAGCATGTTGTCTATATACATGTATAAATACTTAAATCTTAATTCAGCCTGATTGCACAACAAAGATAAAGTCGATCTAAGCGACAAGTCACCGATTCTCGTCCAACTCGATAATCTCAAATGCTTCAACTGTTGGTAGCAGCCTTCTGACTGTCGCGCATGCGCAACAGCAGTTTCGCAATCGTTTGAGCACGCTTTGGTGAGGAATCTTTGACTAATTTGTAGAAATGCTCCACACTGCATAACGTTTGAGGCTGCAATATGAAATAGGCAGGATTATAATAATTTGCTAGATATTATTATACATTTAGCTCACAATGGTTTCCGAATCCAGTTGAGCCTGTGCCTTATTAGCGAGTACCCACAGTTTCACCGCCAACGCGCAAAGCGGCTCCCTCTCGAGATCTGCATAGCGCACTATACGCATAAACAGCTCCATTGAGAGTTGGGCTTGGGTGCGCTGCTGCTGAGCGGCTCCCAAAGCCTTAAGCTGAAGCAATATGGCCTCCACGACCTGTCCACAGAGATTATTAACCTCAGCTAGGAACTTGGGATCGTGACCATAGAGGGCATCATTCGAAACCACTATGAAGAATATGATTTGGTTATGCTTGAAGTTATATTACATATATTGCAGGGGTTTACCTCCATCGATGTGATATGGAAATTTCTCCATGCTTTGCACATAAAGCATGTCCAGAACATGCAAGTATATTATGGCTGGTGCACTACTATTCGCCTTAAAGGTTCTCCGGCCGACGATATCCAGCAGCAGCCGTAGAAAGTACAAGACGCCCTGTTCAGGACTATCGGGCACTACAATTAGGGTAGCAAGCATGTTACAGAGATACGCAACTAGGTAGCGCTCCAAGCAACGTGGTTTGCCTTCGAAATCAATGGTGGAGGCCGGCAGTTCATCAATCAGCTGTAACGCAGCCTCAAAGCACGCATCCGCTAATAGTAACAAAAAGTTCGGTTTGCAATTCAGTGTGGCATTTGCAGAAATCAAACATACCTTGCCCCAAACACAAATGACGCAGAGCTAGTTGTCCGCACAGTAGATACAAATCCATTTTCTGCCGAACGGAAGTAATGCTTGGAATGGTTATAAAGCAATAAGCAATGCACGCTTTGATGAAACCCAATGATTTGGCGCCTTGTCGATTAGACGCATGCATAGTTAGCTTCAAGGCGGCATGCACGAGCGTTACATAGACTGCATCCAAGTTGCTAAAGGTGCCGCGTCCCTCAACATAGAAGCTAAGCTGTTGCTCCAAATCCTTTCCAAAATGCACCTTATTTATGAAACCATTGATAAGCTGCGAAATCTGTCGGCGTTCATCCTCCACAGTAAGTGCACTATAAATACGTTATTTATCAATGAGCTGTAGAAATTGGCAATGCATTCATTCACTTACTTGACCGAGTCGTTGAGAATCTTGCCAAGATACATGAGTGCATTTGTGACAACCGCATCGCTGGTTCTCTCCTCACTGTTTTGCCGATAGTAGCTCAGTATTGACTTGCACATTTCCACCCGCACCGACTCCTTGTGGAACAGATCCAAATAGGGTAGAAAATGTGGCTGTATCAGCAACAGCTCAATACTTCGATAGTTTTGCATTATTCTAGTTAAAATGCTTTGCAGCTGGCCATAGTGCTTCTCATATGCTTTCCCCAGGCACATTCGTGTATTCAGTTCGCCAAGCAAACGATTCACTTCGTGTATCTGAAATGCGAAGTTAAATCATTTCGCTATTGGATTCAATTAATAATTTCATACGAACCGTGAAATATTGTGCTACAAAAGGTGCCCATGTCTCTACACAGTTTATATATTCGTTCGGATCCGTAAGGGTGTTAATCGTTTGAAAGGCTGCGTTCAGAAAAGCCAAGCGCTGCTCTTGCAAAGGCGCACAACTGCTTACGCAACTACCCAGCGGTCGCAATAATTGAGATTTTGAAATGCCAGGTGTGTCGCTGTTGTTGATGAGCTCCAAGAACTCGTGAGCATGTGCGGCAACGAATTCCCCCTTTGCGGAGTTCAGTATAGATAAAAGAATAGCGCCGCTAGGAAAACAACATAATAATTACAAACGGAAATATTATCCAGCAGATATTGGTAACCTACTTGTACTTCAGCTGTTTGCACTCTTGGAGCATTTCTTGTGCGTAAAGATCGCTTTCGTGCATCAGACACTGTAACATATAATCGAAAGCAGGTGAATATAGCTGTAAATAGGCGCTGGCCGTAATTATCTCTGGATGCAAATTGTAGCGGGCAACAATGCGAAAAATCTGCCGGACAAAAATTCATTTAAATAGATGTCAATTATAAGAGTAGATTAGTGTATGACCAACCCACCTGAGGATATATCGTGAAGAGATCTGTAAAGTTGTCGCGTATATAGACCTTGCTGCGTGTAACCGTTACACCGACGCGCACAAGGTAACAGCGCGCATAGCTGGACACCAGAGGATCAGCAATGCCACGTAACTGACTAGTGAGGCGCAATAGCACTTGCTCTATTTCCTTCTGCGTGGCAGCCAGCAACTCGTAACACTTGAAGATGGCCATTTCCAGATAGAGACGCGGTAACAGCTCGCGTATTGAGGCAATTTTATAGAACCAATTTTGGCAGGTGTCCCGCGCAGCTTCGCGTTCTCTTTGTTGAAGAGCAGCCGACGCACCTGGTGCACCCTCTGCCTTTATACGCAAACGTTCGTATACCAGCTTACCGAAGACGTCCAAGATGTCCGTGATAAGTATATACTGGCTGGGATAGAACTGTAGCACACTTGTATCCGACAGCATCTTTGCACACTGGATGGCTATCTTCAGAGCCTTGACGCGTTGATCGTTGTGCCAGGACTGAATGAGCTCCTGTTTTAGCTGATCGAAGCGCTGTATGTACTCCTGCTGGGTGAGGTCCATCATGTGCCGCATGCTACCATCGTCGAAATTATCCAGCTGCTCCAGCCGATACTTGACCTTGTCGGCCACCACCGTCTGGGCTTTAACTGTCATAAAAGGAGAATGAAAAATATTAACAACTTCATTCCATAGATTTATAATGCTAACGTATGCATTACAGTTTTCACCCCCGCCTTCCGTGCTGCTGGTGCATAAAAAGCTGGTGGATAGAGATAGCTTTTCATTGGTAGTAAAGCGATTCAATATGCCTAGGCGGCGTGTGCTCCAATTAAGGGTGTTATCCTCAGGCTCACTTGCATTACCACGTTTTGACTTCAGCATTTTAGATGAATCATATGTTATGGCAAAAATAAGAATGTCTTTCACAGTTTACTTACAAATTCACTGGACATTTGGGTCAGCGGATCATTGAGCTCTTGATCCTGGCGTGCAAACTTGGACAATGGGTCAGTGCCTTCGAGAGCCAATGCCAGGCTGAGCGGATTCTTGTCCGCGACCTAAATTAGTTTGGCAAATTAGTTGATTGTTTGTAATGGGCGGAGGTTTGCTAGTCTCTTACCGTGACGTTGACAGTGAGCTGCTTAAGCGGATGCTCCCTCGTTGGCTGGCCATGTAATTGGTTTTTAACTACTTGATAGCAGCACGGGGCACAGAACCTACGTGAACATTTTTTTTTTTTTATAAACAAATAATATTTTCTCGAGAGACATACCATTCCAAGCTTGCCATGTCGTGCTTTGCAACGCTGTTAAGTGCGGCGCAACTCTGTAAACTCAATGTAAAATTTTGACATTCACAGTGAATGGCAAAAAAACAACAATTAAAAATAGTTGGCAACGCAAGACACATCCGCGCATCATTTTTCACCATTATTCCATAAAAAATTAAATTTATTTAAAAAGGATGGCGAAAGTACCGAATAAATGGCTAAAAAACACTTGCAGAGTGTGTGGCAAATACGCTAGTTTCAAGAAATCATTTAAGATATTCGATAAAGCGAATAAAAAGCTACTAGGCAATATAGAAACAATGACGGGCCTAAGGGTAAGTAAGCAGCGACTCCGCTTGGCCAATTATCTTAAACTACATTTATTCTGTTAACTTAAGCTTGAAAGCTATCCTTGCCTACCTGAGCTGATGTGCGAGTGCTGCAACATTGAGCTAACAAGCGCAATCAGGTTTCGAGACAGATGCATCAGTGCACAGCGCGAATTACTGGCTGGTCTCACTCAACAACAACAGGAGACAATACCGGAGAAGTACAAAGCACTCATTATGGGAAATGAAGCATTGACGCCTTCAGCTGAGGAACAAGAAATCGAAGCTGACTCAGAACCTGAAGTCGAAGCTGAACAGGAAATTGATCCTGATTACCAACAGGCGGAGGAAGACGACCTTGCCAAGCTGTTGCCGGAAAGTAGTGGCACAGTTACAAAAGTGAAATATGAGATAGACCCGGAATTCACAGATTTAATCGAAGCTGATGAGGAAGACAATGACTCACTAGTGGAAGAAACACAATATGAATGCCTAATGGCTGATGATGATGGAAATATTGTAAAAATTGAGAATGTGTCGGATCAAGTTATCGTGCCTGATCCCACAGAAGTTTATTTGTATGATTCTGATGACGAGGTGGCCGTTCTAGACAACGTACTCGACGATGAATACGAGCATGAAAATGTTGTGAAGAAGTGCAATTTGCCACCGAAGCCAAAAATCAAACCCGAAGATCCGCGTCGCAGAGGAGCAGGTGGTGTTTACATTTGCGAACAGTGTGGCAATCATATAAAGGGACGTATGGCATTCGAGTTGCATTGCCGTAGGCATCGGGGCGAGAAAGATTTCCAGTGCGAGTAAGTGAAGCAAAGGCATTCATAAATAACAATTTAACGACTATTTAACTTTCCTACCAGAATCTGTGACAAATGCTTCTGCACAACCTCGGAACTCAAACGCCACATGCGTAAGCACACCGGAGAACGTCCCTTTGCCTGCCAGTACTGCGGGCGCTGCTTCTCGGACTATACAACTCGAGTGAAGCATGAGCGCACCCACACCAATGAGCGACCCTATGCATGTGGCACTTGCGGCAAGGCTTTCACCACGGGTTACATTCTTAAAAACCACATGTTGACACATTCCGGCTTGCGGTCCTATAGGTAAAAAATTACAAGTAAAATGAACAAGAAACTGTTTGGTTGAATGCATCTGGTTCTATTTATAGGTGCGAGCTGTGCGATAAGTCCTTTATGCTGCCTACTCATCTCAGTACCCATATGCGCACCGGCGTACATAAGCGTACCTTGGAGAAATATCAGATGAAACAACAAATGCAACACGACCCGGCAGTTCAGCTTAAGTTGGAAATGGATGAGGAAAGCTTGCATATTCAGGACTAATGAATTCATAATTTGTATAATTTAAGCTTAACACCCCAAATAGGATTACAGCAAATCTATTCTTATTTTTAGTTAAATTTACACAATGCCTACATTTAATAATCATTAAGAATTTAACAGCTATCGGCACATACTCTGCGGTATTTCGGAGATACATTATTGTACATTTTATTAAAAATAATTAAGAAATAAAAACAATTTAATTATATGCATTTGAACAATAAAACAATTCAATTATATTCCAAATATGTAAATCAACCAATTAGTGGTTTAGAAATACTTATGCAACACTACTAGCCGCAGTCTAGACGGTGGATGCGGTTTTACGCAGTCATGTGAATGGTAATAATTAAGAAAAACAGCTGTTGCTTCAAATGACGCTGTTTACTAAAATATTTGTTGAGCTCAAAGAATATTTTTCTCTTAATTTTCAATTTTATTGATACAAACGATGCTTAAAAATATGTGTAGAGTATGTGGCAGATATGCTGCGTATAAGAAGTCATTAAGAATATTTGAAAATAAACATATGCTGTGGAGTATCCAACTTCTCACGGGATTAATTGTAAGTATTTATTTATATTTATTTTGAAGTTGATCGTCAATTGACAAATAAGTAACTAATTTTACGGCGCTGTATTGCAGTTGGAAAATACAAGTTGTTTGCCAGACCTAATATGCATTTGTTGCCAGACAGAATTACGAGAGGCAATCAGATTTAGCGAAAGAGTAATAGCGGCGCAACAGCAGCTGCTATCAGCGTTAACTGAGGAAGAGCTGCAGAATGTATCCGAGGAGTATAAAGTGGCGGTCATGGAATATGCTAGCAGTAGTAATCACTCACTAATTAATAAAATCACCTCAGAGACCCAATCAGAGCCCACGGCTATAACTGAAGAAGAACCTGTAGCAGATGAAGAGTTGGTAATTAAAATTCAAGCGGAGGAGCAGGAAATTCTTATAGAGGAAAATAGTCAAAATGATGGTCTTTTGGAATATAACATAAAAATTGATGATGAACTAATTAGACAGGCAGCTGAAACACAGGATGTCGATACCTTCGAAGTATTTGAGGCTCCAACTAAAGAGCAGCAGCGAAATGAACTTATAGACGATACCAACGAAAAACCAATTACCGAAGATTATATTCTGCCTGATAAAAATTTAGATGAGGAGTGTGCAGTTTTGGATAGAGTACTAAACGATGAGATCGCCGCCCAAAGTGAGGGGAAGAAAAAGCGCGGCCGCAAACGTATAGGAAACCTCATATTCGTTTGTGATGAATGTGGTAATCACATATCTGGACGCATGGCGTTTGAACTACATTGCCGCCGACATCGCGGGGACAAACAGTTTGAATGCGAGTATGTTAACGAACGGCCATAAATTTTTAAATAGATATGTTTATTAATTAAAAAATCATTTGCAGCGTTTGTCAGGATCGTTTTTGCACCAGCTCAGAACTGAAGCGTCACATTCGTAGGCACACCGGAGAGCGTCCCTTTGGCTGCCAGTACTGTGGCCGTTGCTTCACGGACTACAGTACCCGGTTGAAACACGAGCGGACGCACACAAATGAGCGACCATATGTATGCACTAGTTGCGGCAAGGCATTTACTACAGCTTACATTCTAAAGAATCACATGCTTATTCATTCCGGCGAACGTGCTTTCAGGTGAGGATAATTCAGCTAACAATACATTAAAGACATTGACTTACCCATTCTCCACTTACAGTTGTGAGCTGTGCAAGAAAACCTTTATGCGGCAAACACACCTGGCCACTCATTGTCGGTCTAGAACGCACGAGCGCAACCTGGAGCAAGAAAACCAAAAAAAGAAAACTAAGAGTTAATTTACATTAAAAGAGTACGCATATGTAGTAACCCAACTAACTATTCGTTTTTTTTAATCCATTTTCTATCCTAAAAAAAAATGGAATTTTTTCCGAAGTGACTTAAACAGAAATGGTAATTTTTATTGCATTGCTCAACATGTATTATTTTTGAAAAAGAAGAAATAAAAGTCATTCAAAAAGATACAAATTTAAAATGTATGGGCATTTGTGAGCAGACATATAGTCATTTTACAACACTAGATAGTGGGCGTCGCTTGCTGCGCTGCGTGTGTGAATGGTAACAATAAACAACAACAGCTGTTATGCAGACAACACTGTTTACAATAATATTTGAATTGCGCAAAAAATATTTGTTTTTTGTTAAATTATGTTTTAATTAATACATACAATGCTCAATAATATTTGTAGACTCTGTGGCAAAAATACCGCCAGACAAAACGCATTAATAATTTTTAAAAACAATGATATTCTTTATGGCATTCAAGTCTTAACGGGATTAATCGTAAGTAAATTTATAAAACTAATTTTAATATTCTATAATATATATTATACACCTTTACGTAAATTCAGTTGGAAAATGCAAAATGCCTGCCGGAACTTATATGTAGCAGCTGCCAGAAAGAATTGCGCGAAGCCATTGCATTTTGCGATAAAGTAATTGCCACACAGCAAGAACTTCTATTAGCGTTAACTGAGGACGAGCTAAAGGAGTATAAGACAGTCGTAGATGAACAAGCTGTCAACAGTTGTGAGAAATCAATTGATAGAAACAGCACTGAAGCTCAAGATGATCTAATTGAGGAGTCGATTATTGAAACCAACCTGATTGCAGACGATATTATCATAGAGGAACAAGACAAGCACGATCATTTACTGGAATACGATATCATCATAAATGATGACACAGTCGTACAGGAAGCTGAAATAGACGTTCGAACTTTGGAAACGATAGAAAACTTCACTGATGAAGACCAATATGTATTGGTTAACGAACCCGATGGAAATACATCTCGCGGAGATTACATGCTGTGTGAGAAGGAATGGAGTGACGAAGGTATAATATTAACCAAGGAAGTCAACGACGACGAAACTGTAGAGCCACAAAATACTATTAAAAATAAACGAGGTCGAAAACGACACGGGAACCTAATGTTTATTTGCAATGAATGCGGAATTAATATATCCGGCCGTGTGGCCTTCGACTTGCACTGTAGACGACATCGTGGAGAAAAGCAATTCGAATGCACGTAAGCACTCAAAAGAGGAATATGAAACGAACATCATATAGGTTTAATTCTTGTTTAATTTCTGCCAGCAATTGCCAAAGCCGTTTTTGCACAAGCTCTGAATTAAAGAGCCACATGCGCAGGCACACAGGCGAACGCCCCTTTCCTTGTCGCTATTGTGATCGATACTTCGCGGACAATAGTACTCGGATAAAGCATGAGCGGACACACACCAATGAGCGACCGTATGCATGTGATACCTGTGGAAAGGCCTTTACCACCACCTACATACTTAAGAATCATATGCTCACTCATTCTGGCGAACGCGCCTTTAGGTGAGCTCTACAATGTCTATTTATTTTATGACGTATTAGCTCAAACCTATGTCTTCCAATTTCAGCTGCGAGCCGTGCAACAAAACCTTTCGACGACATACTCATCTTGTTACACATTTTCGGTCTAGAGCTCACAAACGTAAACGAGACCGTCAAAGCAAGGAAATGTTGAGTACAAGTTAACATGACTTAAATAGGCATATCTACGCTTTAAGGGTACACAGAAATGTATCTACTTTAATTATAGAATCACGACAAAATAAACTAATAAAACAAGACAAATATTTTTAACAGTCATTTGTAAGGTCACTTAGAGTATTTGTATTATATTTTATATCTTCTTTGAGTACATACATTAATATTTTTATCATTTACTTGCATTTATTCCATTTGTTCAACGGTTCATCGTTGAATTTAATTAGAAAATTGGGAATTATAGCTTCACTGCTTTAAAGGCACTTCAACTGTAACAGGATTAGATAGTGGCAAGATTACTCCATTTATAGGGTCCAAGTCGTTCGAGTTGACCGCCAGCTGCTGTGACGCACATGACTTTTCCACATTCTGCTTGTGGGTATTGGAGCGATAATGAGTCTTCAGATGAGTTGGCCGTGAAAAAGATCGTTCACATAAGTCGCATCTGAGAAAAAAAAAAAAAAGAAACAAGCTAAAAATTCAAAAATCTGTCCAGACTGAAAGATATTTAGTATAAATATGCATACAATATTACTTAAGAGGGGTTAATAAAAATAGCAGGTTTCAATTAGATTTGAAGTCAACTTTCAAGTTCATTAACTAAATCAAGCTGAAAATAATGATATAATAGCTAATAAATATTTCACATTATTTCAAGAAACATTTTTACATTTTGCTTAACTCCAAGCGCCTGCGACTTGTGCATGAAGTTAAAAATAAAGAAAGCAAATCAAAATTACTATGTTCCACCCTACTTAACTTGCATTAGCTTTAGTAAAGCCGGGAAAAACTTGTAAGTTTCAATTGAAGGTAATTTTGTCTGCGTCTGTCACACACAGCAACAGCTTTAATACTCCCTTTCTTCTTCTATGCTTATACTAGTATATTTGTATATAGTTGCTTATTTCTTTTGAATGGTGAAGAAACCGGTTTGTAAAAACAATACACACACACACACATACACATTCATGCTGAGGTAGGCATGTGTGTGTATACCCTCTAAAAGACTTCAAGAGCTTTTTCATTGCTTAGCGGTTGCATCGGTTTGTTCGACTCGTACGCGTTGCAAAGAGCAACAGTTTGAGTTAGGTTTGAGCTGAGGTAGGTGCGTTTAATTTTCGTTGCTTAAGGCAATACCTAAAATCGGCGATATATATTAAATAAACTTAAGCAAAGCAAGTGTGGAAATAAGTGTACAAAGCTAAGTTTTCATAAAGAGACTGTAATAAATTTAGCAAACGTTCGAATACTGTTTGGCAACACGTCTCAATCGTGGCCTAAAGACTTGTTGATCATGGTATACAGACATTCAAGGTTGCATGCCAACTTTTCTAATAATGCACAAACAAGCCAAGCATTGCAAATCTAAAACAATCTGATATGTGACTCTTTTTAACTGCATATAATACAAATCCAAGTAAGGAATGTTTCAGCCATAAGGCCTAACAAGAAATATCATCCACAAGTTGACATAAGTTCAATGTGGGCGATACTTAAAACGCTTAGTCAGGTATAAATATCGATGATATCATTATGAGCTTTTTTTTTTTTTTTGTTATGAGCAGCTGTAGACAAGACCCCAAGATCATGTACATTTATGTTGTATATGTTACAACTGATGACATAGAGCAAAGATAATATTTCTACTAACCTAATTCGCTTTCTTCTCAAAGATTCTTCTTTCAAAATGAGGAGCAATCTGTTGGCAATCTTTGTTTTCATGGCATTATTATGTGGCACATACGCTACTCTCAACGAGAAGAAAATCCTTAAAGAGAAGGATATGATGAGAAAAATTGTCTTCGACAAAAAGACACCAGATGTCTTTTACTGTCCCATACAGAAACCCTCTTCGATGAATAAAATCATTGTCACGTAAGTAAAGTTTAAATTGATTCATATTAATTTTCATTTATATTAAAAATACTTCGAACTCTATTAGAGCACGGCCTCTACACAAATTGTGCGAATACGAAGGCAATCCGTTGCCAGCTGAATATAAATCCGACTGTTATTTGGATATTGATGAAACAGATTATGCTTGCAAGGAGAAATATAGAATCATGGTAAGCGATTACACAAATAGACCTCTGCCCCATTATTAGCCAAAAACTGACCACGATGTTAACTAAATTAAGTAAATTAATCAGTGCAGTTCCACCAACAATTTATAAAAACAATTCAGGATGCTTTTATTTTTAGCTTATGTAATTAATTTTATAAGGTAATCTCATCTTAGATTGTCAGACATTCGAGGACGGACATATATGTATGTTTTGAAACCTTTGGTTATACATTTATATAATATATATATTAAGTGAACCCTTTGCAATTCCAAACTGTTATTGTTCATTTCTCACCAATCGTTAAATACACATATATATTTTAAGTAAATATTTAATATTCCATATGCCCTAGAATTGATGACGTTGCACTTGTAAATTAAATTATCCAATAAGTTTTCGAGCATAACACATTCTAATCTTAAGTTTTGTTTAATTACAGAAACGATTCGCCAAAGACGAACCCTAATACAATAATCACAAACAACACAACAAATTTTAACAGCTTATTGTACATTTTCATTGCACCATACGCTGACAGCTTTGAGTAACTGGATAACACGGCTAAATATCACAGTTTTATCGCTGTACTTATATATATCAATATATATATATATATATATATATTTGCATATAAACTCAAAACTTACAAACTACACAACACATTTACCAAATAGCACAAACCCCAAAACAAAACAAAACAAAGCAAAACATGAAAAACTAAAACTAACGAGAATTTATAGTTATACAAAGATATCGTAGTTTGGTTCACGTGCTTCGAGAGAAATTAGTTTTATGTAATTAATTTTTTACATCGATGCCTGAACTTAGCTATAATAGATAAGTTTTGATTGGGGTTTTTAAATATATACATTAATTTCATTACTACGCGCCATGATCAAAATGTAAATGGAAACTGACTTGATAAAAATGTGACATGGTCTAAATGAAGTTGATATTTCAACGGAAATTAAATGCCATGATCAGTATTTTTAGACAAGTCTTCCTGGTATATCTAATAGAAACTTGGTTTGGGGTATCCGGATAGAGATTATATTTGAATTATTCGCTTTGCAATTGTAATGTGTAAGTATATAACCTTTGGAGTATTTAAACAAACTAACAACAAATGCAACAAAAATAATTGTTTACTTAAATAATTCAGCGATTTTTGTTTTAATATCCCCATTCATTAGATGCGTAAGTTTCCACCGGGCAGCGAAGAGCCATTCAACGGCGCCCGACTCAAGCGATTCATGACCTATAAGGAAGTCAACTAAACCTTAACTGTCGCAGATGGGACGAGAGCAAATATTATGGGACCTGATTCTGAGCGGGTTTAAACATCATCAATCTACTTACAGAAACAACTCTACAAATTGTACATTAACTGTTTAGATAATAAATATTTGTATTTATACACTTGCCTAAACAAACGCTCGCCCGTGTGCACCAGATTATGATTTTTCAGTATATAGGAATTGGTGAACGCCTTGCCGCAGTGTGCGCAGACGAATGGACGCTCATTGGTGTGGGTGCGCTCGTGACGCAGTCTTCCGCTGTAGTTTACATAGGTCCGATCACAATAGCGGCATGAAAACTTGCGATCTCCAGTGTGCATCACCTGATGACCCTTCAGCTCGCCGGATGAGAGAAATCGTGCTGAGCACTGCCTGAAATCATAATATATATGTGTATTAAATTTCAGTGGCTTAGCATTAGCCATGGTAATCTTACTCGCACTGGAAGGGTCTTATGCCCTTATGTTTACGCAAATGTCGGTCAAAGGCTGACTTGCCCGTGACGTTATTACCGCATTGATCACAGAAGAATACAGGCAGCTTTTGCTTACTGCTAGTCTCCTTCGAATTGGTGCTTTTCGCCAATCGCCGACGTCGTTTGGTTTCGATGGAAGGTACATAGCTTTCATCCTCCATCGAGGAGGCGATCGCCGCGTCATTGCAAGTTTCTGTATCCAAATGATCCACACTGTCATCTTCAACACGACTGTTCGGGTGCTCCACTTTGATTAGCACTTCAATGGGACTCAACGGTGCTTCCGTCGCCTCGTCTCCGCTCGCACAACGTACACGAGTGCGTGCACTCCGACGTACACAAATCACGCGTGTGGAAGATGGACTCGTTGGTGCAGGGCTGGATATTCCCTTTGGATGCTGCATCCATCTTTTGTGGCTGCGTAGGCAACGATCTCGAAATTCTATGGCACACTTCAAATCATTTTGGCAGACGTTGCATATAACCTCAGGTAAATCTGGTTTGTCTTCTAACTGCACGGTTTTTTTAAGTGATTATTCAACTTGTGATTGATTCGTGTTTTCTTGTTTAACTTACAGAAACTCCGGTGAGTAGTTGTATTTGTTTCAAAAGCTGGCGAGAGCTTCTATCGAAGAGGTTTTTTGCCTGAGATGCATCAGTATCAATTTCACAGATGCGGCAAATATTTTGCAGCATTTTTTGCAGCGAGCCCCGGTTAATTGTATTCCAATCAATTGCGAATGTAAACAAAGCAGCTGCTGTCCCACACCCACGAATACCGACCACCATTCGCCCAGACGCGTCAACAGGTTGTTGTCGTAATACAACACTGGCCCCAAAATAAAACTTTAAATTCTATATATGTATGTATGTTTGTATGTATATACTTATTCCCACTGTTCCACAACTACATGTATGCATCTATATAATTTGCTGTTTTTCCTTAGTTCATTCTTTTGTATCTGGCGTAAGTTGCTTCTCTACGTTTAGTTTGTGTGTAGTAGAACGATAATGCATTTTAAGATGAGTTTTACGCTGAAAGTCGCGCTCGCAGATATCACATCTGCTGATACAATTAGAAAAACGGTTAAAGCATAAACTTACAAAAGACTCGTTAACTTGCCTAAACAGCCGCTCGCCCGTATGCACCAACATATGATTCTTAAGAACATAGGAATTGGTGAACGCCTTGCCGCACTCTGCGCATACATAGGGTCGATCATTGGTATGCATCCGCTCGTGTTTCAGTCGTCCCGTGTAGCTCATGTAGCGGCGTTCACAGTAACGACATGGAAACGGTCGCTCTCCCGTGTGAGTGAGACCATGAGCGCGCAGCTCAGCAGCCGATAGAAATCGTGCCGAACACTCTCTACGAAATGTAATTCAATATGCATATATATTCACATCCATATATTCACTCAATTGAAGTCTTACTCGCAACCAAAGGGACGTTCCCCCGTGTGCTTCCGCATGTGTCGCTCGAAAGAAACCTTGCTATTTGCATGTGTGCCACACAATTCACAAATATAAATGGTTGCCTCTTGCTTGGCTTTCAAAAGTTTTTTACAGCCGTTTGAACAATGGATTAGCGACGAGGGAAGCTCGGGTTTCGCACTATTTGCTTGAACTTCTGTTTTGATACTCTCACTGTCATCGGTGTCGATGTCAGTGGTTGCCTTCAGGATGAAGCTTTCAGCCAAATGATCCTCTTCCTCGGCTAGATTGGAGCGCTCCCAATTGCTGTTGGTTTGGCACTCCTCCAGCAAAACTTGTACTGTGCTTTGTGGCTCATCGTCCGACTCACTTTCTCTATATGTGCTATTATGGATCTGGAGATTCGATGGCTTTGGACTTGGACTTGGGCTTGGGTTATCCTGTTCACTTAGAGATGATATATCGCTTACTTCAACGTGCGGCTTCCATTTCTTTTGTGTCTTAATGCATAGCCTTCGAAATGACATGGCCCGCTTAAGATCCGATTGACAACAAAAGCATATTGTCCCGGGAGCATCTTGCAAGTCCCGAAGCTGCTCTGATTAAGGTTAGTTACTAAAACTAAGTTGATCCTTTACACTTATGTAGCTTACCCAGCATCCAGTCAACATTTGAATATGCCGCACTAATTTCTGATTTTTAGTCTCGAAAAGATTTAAGCTTTTCTCACATGATTTACTTTTTCCGCAGATGCGGCACATTTTTACAAACATGCTGAACCAGCATTAGCTTTGACGTTACATTGGGAACTTAGAGATATGCATATTCCAGTAGATGTTGTCAGCTGCGTTGACAATCACACGAAGCGCTGACACACCCAAATGTGGAGTTTTCTCTCCATTGTTATAACGGTTTTTGTGAATTCAAATTTGAATTTCACCGCCAATATTAACAGTGCTATGAGACAAAGCCTAGAAGAAAACTCATATATTTGCATGTTCTATTAGGCATCGCGGCTTTTATGCGTTTTATTTGAACAAAGCGATTTTATAAAACTACTTGGATTTTCAAAGCTACTAGAAATTTTATAGGGCACAGAATGTCCTTCAATCAGGCCTGGGAGCTGTTGTTGTCCTCGTATGATTTGATTTGGTTATGCTTCAGCTGCAAGTCCTTGTGGAATAGTATTTCATGGCGCAAAGCGTCAGCCCGTTCACGCACAATCTTCAAATCCAACAGCTCCAAGCGACGTTTCTCAATTAGCACGCGAAAACGATGTAGTTCTAGCTGTCTTTGCCGCAAAGTTGGCAAAGTGTTGTTCGTGCTGTTGCCAGTTGCCGTGGTCTTGGTCCCATTCCCCTTCGATGTGCCTGCATTTGATGGCGGTGCAGTCGTCTTGGTGCGCCGCTTGGTCTTTGAGTTGGTATTCTTTGCCTCAGTCGAAGTAGACAAATCGATTGCACCAGTTAGTTTTTTTGATTTGGACGGTTTCAGCAACGGGATTCGTACCTCTAGCGAACCCGAGCAGCACGAATCGCTGTCATCGAGTATACATATGCGGTTGGCAAACTTGGGTGCAACCTTGCGCACTACAGCAGTCTGATAGGGCGGAAGGAAACACGTCTCCAGTTTCAGATCGGCAACAGCGAGCTTGGGCTTGGACAAGCTTGCCGATCTTGGTGAAGAGTGCTCCCCGAGTAAATCCTTGCTGCGTCGATTCTTAAGGGACTCGTGAGATGGCCTGTACCGCAACGCTAGCGATGGTGATTCCTCATCGCCTAACTTCTTGCTACGTATCCGATCGTACAAACTATGCCAGATTCCAATAGCACGTGCCCGCTTTGCGGTGGCCAAATCCTGCACTGACTCGTGCGAGGGCTTATAGCGTATTGCCAGGCTGGTGGCCGACTTGGAGGGCGACTCCTGTGTAGGGGTCTGCTCCTTCATTATCAACTGAAAGTTACTATTGGAAGCGCCCAAGACTTGTGGATTGCTTGTGCTCGGCAGGTTATGATCGGAAGTGGATCTGGAGGAACCCTTGGACTCATTCGAGATGCTTCTATAGTTAACCACCGAATCAAAAACTTCCTCTTCCCCGTCGCGCACCTTCCACATTACACGACGGCTGCTACTCGATTGTGATGATACAACACTCTCCACTGCTCCGGACGAAGGGAAAACTTTATTACCCAGACCACAAAATGGATTCTTAGAGCTTACCAGACTTTTGTTTTTGATCCATAGCTAAAATTGGCTATAGAACGCAATTATATTAGATGTTGAGTTGAAACGAGGGGCCCTGTAAATCTGGAACAACTGTGTACGTCGTGCTTTTGAACTAAATGAACTAAATCAAGTCTTGCTACAGAAAATTATGAGAGTGATACTAACAGGGCCTACTACCCATATAATGACACAAAATACACAATATACATAGTTTTTCTTATTCATTTTCTTTAATTGGTATTTGTCATCGAGTGTATATAATTTGTCATAAAATCTGTTTGCTTTTTGGTTTCTTTCGTTATAACTAAATTGTGTTACATTCTTTGGTTGTTCAATTATCGACTTTTAAAAATGGTTTTTTTTTTTTAACATTTTGCATCCCAACAGAAATTATATATATGTATATGTATATTTAAATATTTTACAATTAAGGTGGCAAACATAGGACTCTTTAATGTTATGTGTCTTATTAATTTTAGGTGTTTACTCTTCTTTTCTAATGGGTTCGCACTGCACTAATTGTTTGCTTGAGATTGTTATTTGACTAGAGGGGGATAATCGAGAAGGAACCACATAGGAGACTCAACGATCTTGAGAAATGGTTTGACTAGCATTTGGTGTGCGGAGTTTAATGAAATGCAATGAGACTGATTGAATGCCGGGGGGTGGGGTGGAGAAACATGTATATGTGTTAAGTATCTTCATCGTCATCTAAGATTCAAATCTCATCTACTTATACATTGATTTTATGGCTTCTTGAACGGCTTAGATACACTATATAGTTTAGTCTAGATTTATATAAAGTATTTCTTTAAAGTACACACATTGCCTTTAGACTTTTTCGTGGGCCAGTTTTAGTTTCTCTGTATTCCTGGTTTTAGATTGGTTTTAAAATTCTTTTAAACTGCGAGATAAACTAATTTGTAGAATTTACAATTTTGCTTTTGTTTTCTTTTTAACTATCAAACAACATATTATCTTTGGGAATTTTGTTATTACAATTGTGTACTTATTAATGTATTCAAGGGCTCGAGACATTTGTTTTTGTTTTTCTAATTTTCACACAAAAAGATTGAATTCTTCTGGGTGCATAAGAGGTGTATAGTTTTAATGTATACAAAAAAATTGTTATACAAATGTGAAAATCATTCAAGTTTTAGCTTTTCGGCTTGTCGGTCTTGTTGTATTGGTTCCAATTGATGCTTAAATTTTAACAATTATTCTCATATATATAAAACCGTTTTAAATACATGTCTATATATATTTATATATACATGTGTATGCTATCATAAACCTTACTATACACAAGTAGAGATGCATATATATGTGTATATACTATATGCTACATGTTATATATGTATGTATATGTATATATGTTGGTTTTGGGGACCATCTCATTTCATCTCAGATCTCAGATTACACAATTTATCTGTTTGTATATTGCTATTATCTCTATTATTTTGTCAAGTACCCGTCGTACATTGTAAATGTCTCCTCCCACTCACTACTGTTGCTTGTATGTTACTAATCATAAGTTACTGGACGACACAGTGAGAAAACGAAGACTATGGCGTACCACACCTCGGTCAGATAGAGCGCGATCTGCAGTGTACAAAGGCAGTATTCCAGACGCAGCCTGTAGGTCTGCAGCAGCAGCAGATACGAGACGCCCAGAAAGCACGGAACAGTCAGAAAGACCGACATTATGGCAGTCCAGCCTGCAGATAAAAGAAATGCACACACACGCGACAGAGAAAACAAATCATTAGTCAAGTAAAAACAAAACAAAACAAACAAAAATTGATAAGAACTATTAATAGAAAATGTGCCAAAAACAAAACTATGCCAATCTGAGCGATAGCCCCCGACGCCTACCTCGCTCGGCCAGCGTCCCCTTGCGCCCCATTATTAGACGGAGCGTCTCCAGCACTATGAAGCTTATCATCACCGTCGAGTCCTGGGCGAGCGTATGCCCCGTATAGCTCAGATTAATAGCCTTCAGCAGTCCCATGGCCATTTCGCAGCAGGCGAACATGCCAAAGTAGAAGCTATTCAAGTAGATTAACACCTCGTAATTCATGCTGGGATTGGGCTTCTTCGGCACCAGCGGCGGCGGTCGCTTTGGTGGCATTCTAACTAACTTAGTTCACACCTGTCCCGTCCTATTCCCGATTATACGATATATCTAATAAATTCACTATATCACTGGGATCCCGGCTGCGATCGCAACGCGCTCGACGTTGTTCACGTTGCTCACGTTGGGCGCTATATTTTTAGACTGACCATAATAATAATGTGGACCTGCTGTGCTGGCCATTGGCTCTGTCGTTCTAGTTGTTGTTATTCTTGCTGTTGTCGCTGCTCATTTTGTTGTTATTTATTTGAATTATGTGTTGGTGGTCGTTGTCGCCTTTAAAATCTGTTTCTGAGTTGCATTTAGCTACATATGTATGTTGGTCAGAGATACCCAATGAATGACCTACTCCCAGTTGATAACTAACAATATAATTATGTTAAATATAACTTCATTTACTTTAAAAATAATTTATATCAATTATATCATTATGTATTATAATCATAATTAATTGAGCAGAATTTTATTTTTGTTCTTTAACTCAACATTTCTAAAATGTCTTAACTACTTTCAGTTGTAGTTTAACGAATTTTCTAGTATTTCTACTATTTCAGCTCAGTTACCATCTTAACTTTCTAGTCTAGTATTTACAACCCCCTGATGTATATCATCCAAAGTCTTTCGGTCTAATGACAGCCCCACAATGTGTCTGGCTGGCCTAAACCCACTAGCAGCCACTCGATTGGCTTCGTGTATGCGAGTATTATTACAGTTGAATTAGAATTAGAAGTGTATATTGCACCTATAATGAGCAGCGACAACGATGCCAAGCGGCGCAGCGGCCACTGCAGAGACGACAGCGACTACTTATGTGGAGAGTGCATATAATTTTAGATCATTATAAGCGTATAAAAATACGCCAACAGCGAGCGAGTCCGAGTCAAATGCGGCGGACGACAAAGGCCGGTCAAAAGAATGCGCTCCGAATTCAAATCAAATGCCGCTTTTAATCGAAACGGACGAGTCGCGTCGGGTTATCGTGCATTACACGTAATAGAGCTTACATAAGATATTGGTGGATTTTTTTTTATACGAACCTCGTTAGTAGAGCGTTTGATCAGCTCCTCTTTGGATTGAAGTGATTTTGGATTTATTGCGGTTTTTTCGTGGTGCGAGGAGTAATTGAAGGAATACGCCAGCGTATTTGCGATGGTTCATCTATAATATCTTGTCATCCACGTAGACCTCTTCGATAAGTGTTGTAGATCCTTTAAGTCGTTGGCTGTGTGCGTGTGTGAGAGTGTGCGGGTGTATAACTGTGTATATATGACTGAGTGTGTGTGTTTGTGGGCGTGTGCTTTGGCGGCTTAGCCTACACCAAAATCGCTCAACTTAAATGTAAACTGCCTGACGTAACTATACCAAATGATGCGTTGTCGTCGTCGTACTGCTCCATACCCAGCAGCAGCTGCCAGTCCCAATCGAGGTTCAAGCAATGCCGCCGTTGGCTTGGCCATGGACATCGACGTGGCAACGTTGACCAACTGCTAGGTGTATGTCACGGGTCGACACATTGTACAAATGAATATGCTGGCATAAACTAGCTCAGCACCTTGTAGGGTGATCATTAAGGCACTCAGAATAATTTCGAGTTTAAGAACATAAGTTTGAAAACAACACAAGTAGATAACAATAGCAAGACTGGGCAGTGTTAATATTACGGATGCGGTTGCTTGCCAGCCTGTGAACGGGAAAAGAATATAAATAGAATGTGAATAGATTGTGTGGGAAAGTGTTTAATATGATATTGAATACAAAGAGTATATAAACAACTTTGTCTTTTATATTCCTTTGCGAAAATCTTAGAGTATTCGTTTGCTCCTAAAAAAAAGCTATTAAATAAGTTCATGCTCTGCTAATGTTCATTCAAAATAACTATTAGATTATATACTATTACTAGATTATATACTCTGCTGACCCGAAAAATCAGTTCAATGAACCGAATGCAGACTCTACATTTTGCTTCACAAGTGCAATTGAACATTTTATTTAAGTTCCGTACAGAAATAATTCCAAATTTTGAAAACACTTCAAAGCCAGTGAGCAACCCTTTGTTGTTATACATTCGCATCTATAGATACGAACAAAATTACGCATACGCCACGTTGAGTGTGAACATATTTATGAGCTCTGGGGGTTGAGGCGATGCGAAAGGAAATAAGAGTCAACAGGGATGAGAATATAAAACAATGATGACGCTCGTCGCTCCATGAGGACCGCAACAAATAATTTAAGCATGTCATCATAGCAGCCACAGCTAACACCCCCCAAACACCTAAATAGTTAACAACTAACAGCCTCCAGCCAGCAACAGTTCCTCAGTCAACTGTTGAGTTCTCCGCACTGCACAGCTCATTAAGTAAACAAATGCGAGGAGTAAACATAAAAGCACCATTATCCATGTATTTAAGTCTACATTGTGTGTGCGTATATGTGTTGGTGTGTGTACGGTGTCAAGGGGAAGGTAAATTTCTCCTCACCCTCCTCCAATGGATTACTCACCACGATCGCTGAGGCTACTTTTGCGGCCGAAGACAATGCGCAGCGTTTCGATGATGCACAACGATAGCAGAATCGTTGCCTCACGTGACAGAATGTTTTCGCCATAATTCAGATTGATTGCCTTTAGCACGCCCACGCCCACCTCGAAGGCGGCGTACATGCCAAAATAGAACGAGTTCAAATACATGAGTATCTCATATATGAGGCTGGCATTCATATTTTTGCTGTTGTTGTTGTTGAGGCTGCTGCCGGTCCTATTGTTGTTATTCCGTTTGTATCGCTGCCGTCGTCAACCTAGGGCAAAGTCTGCCCTCCGTTGCCCGTTGTCACCGGGGCAGCTTGAAGCAGCAGCAGCAACACTGCTGATGTATGAACAGATGATGTTCGCTTTAGAGTTTTTGTTGTTCTTCTTATAGCCAAGTGACCCAGGCAGCAGAAGCAGCAGCAGCAGCAGGTGGCTCATACACACACACACATGCTCTCATACATATATGTATAATATATATATATATTTGTATATATATATATATATATATATATATATATATATATATATGAGCGGATGTGTGGCTGTGTGCGTGGCTTTGGGCGGGGAACTGGAACTGTTTTGCCTTGAGTAGATGGCGCTCCGCTCTCGGTGTATTTTTAATTGTGTCTGCCCATATGCATATTTATTTTATCGCCTTATCGTTTTCTCTTTTTGTTTTCGCTGCTGCTGCTGCTGCTGCTGCTACTCTTGTTATTATTTGTCGTTGTCATGGAAGTCTCCTTGTTGCGCTGGTAACACAGTAACGCAATATATTTTTGTGCATGTGTATGTGTGTTCCACTACCAAATACTTGCGTGGAAATTGTTAAAAGACAACAACGGCACTTATATAAAAACCAATTTTGTATTTGCTGCTATGTTCTCACACACGCACACAACAACAATACCGCGTAACTTTATAAACGCACACAAACACAATTTAATGACAAAGGACTGGACTGACACTCCATAAACATAAAGCAGCACGCGTTTGTAAGAGTCTCTTTGGATATTCACGTAAATAATTTCCAAATTTTTAGCTTTTATGGTGCTGTTGTACTTTGGCTGCACATGTGGAGTATATTTGGGTAGTTCATCAGTGAGCGAACAAAAGAGTTGTTCACTGAACCAAGTAAATGAGCTTGTTCTTTTCTACATAACAGAAGTTCCTTTTGCACAATAGTTCCAGTCCGCTGTCAGACAATTTGCATGCTGGAAATGGAACTTTGAACAAGATATTCCAAGGGATATTTGAGAAGGAAGTAACTAATCTGCCGAATTTCAAATTTATAATATACAACATAAAATTTAATCAACACATGGATAAATAACGTTAAGAATAGAAATTGCGTTAAATCATTTTAATTTTGCACATACAGAGTAAATAAACAAAAGTTTAAAATCCCATGCCAACAGTTCCAAATTGAGTTACAATACTGACAAAAGTGTAGATTGAGTATCGTAACTCCTAGGTCGATAGGTAATATTGTAACGTAAAACTTATTCAAAAAATTTCCGCCAAAGCCAAAAAAATAGTAATTACTAAATAAATATGCAATAAAATGTACAAAGAGTAATATGAATGTATGTACAATATTTTTAAATTTATCCAAATATTAAGTATGTGTATATATGAACATATCAGAGTCGAATTTGAAAATATTTGGATCACGAAAAGAATTTAGGTTAAAACTTTTTTCTGATCTTATTTCTTGACTAATACTTTTAATTTATTTACAATATTCAGATAAATGAAAATACGTGCCTGTTGATACTAAACAACTTCAATCAGCAAAATGATGTTGGACTCTGCCTAATTGTGTGGACCTGGGATATTTAATAAATTGGCTAATTTATATATGAAAAGTTTCTGCTTTTATATTCTGAAAATTTGTATATGATATTTAATAATTGACTTAAATAAACAACAGTATTTTTAGACTACAGAAATATGTTTTACTTATTCATATATGTAAATCAAATTATCTATGTATGTACATTGTATCATGTTTTTTAAAACTATAATAATGTTACACTTTCCTAAAGCTGCTGAATCTTGTAAAATCAAACGTTATTAAATGTTTAACGATGTAAATTTTCATCAAACAGTATGCCAACATCGCACGTTATATTTAAAGGAAATGAAATATGCGATTAAAATATACCGATACTTTTAAATAATCGAAATCTTCGATAGTCTAATAAATGTGCATTTATATTATTTTCTACTCATTTGGTACTGTAAGGAAAATTTTTAATTTAGATTTCATGTTTAAGCAATTTATATTAAAAATTAATTTCCAATATTGCACTACAATTTCGATTTTTAACTAAATATCAAAGCAACGCATTCTGAGATTCCCTATCTGTCGAAACTAGGTAACATTATTACAAAAATAAACTAGAAAATCAAAGGCGACTTTCATTTAAAACGCTGCAAACTTAATTTACAGATTGAAACTATCCGCGAACAGCCGACGAATGCGAATTGCGAAATAACCTTATTTCATTTTGAAATTTGATTTTGCAAGCTTTACAGTACAGGCAGTATTACTCAACACTGGCAGTCTGGGACAGCTGTTTACTCTGTTTTGTCATTTGTTGTTGTATTTTTTGCTACACATAAACATTAAATAAATGAAAATATAAAAATAGTCAAAGAAAACGTTTCCTGTTTATTGTTTGTTATTAAGTTTTACCCAGATTCTAAACATATTATGCACTGCAGTTGTCCAAAAACTCGCTCCTGTTTTATGTTCCCATACATTCAAAATTGATTAAGAAGAAAAAAAAAGAAAGTGCTTGGGCCACAGAGCAAAAACTGAAAGGCCTTGGAACGAACACACAACGCAACCTAATTAAATTTCGACCAAAGGACGTGTACATTATTCGGCAATTGGCAATGAAATTGTGCACTGGCAATGAACTCCAGACTTGAAGGCAGTTATCAGCTCCAGGGGCACTCCAGCCCTATGGCCAACGAACGCAAACAGAGCAGTCCCAAAATGGAAATAACTAAACTTAACCATGAGCTCATCGAGGAGTGTAAACGTAGCCATGAGGATTCCATCTTGCCGCGCCATTTACGCCACGAGCTCGAAAAGTATGTATGGGTGATAGCAGATGTAGGAATATGTGTATGTGTGTATGTTTAGTTAACCAAGTTAGTCGTACGTTTTCTCGTCCATTGATAAGAGCGACCAATTACCGCATAATCAATATTTTCATTGCTATGGTTTTTGCTTTGTTTTGTTTATGTCGTGAGACAGGCGTCTCTTATCAGCAGGCGACGAGCAGTCCAAATAATTTATAATCATCATGATCGCACTTCCCTACTTTATTGCAGGCATCCACGTGAGTCCCGACGCGAAGTGGTTAGAAAGCAACGCAATGGCTGTGCGCCACTTTTCATTGCCTGCAAACGTGGCGCAGTAGTAATTGCAGAGTATCTCATAACCATTTGCGAGGCGGACATTGAGCAGCGTGGACACTATGAAGTGCCTGAGGATAATAGCTTCCACCATGTGACACCCCTTTGGGCGGCTGTCGTGTCTGGCAAACTGTCCATGGTTAAGTATCTGGTGCGAATCGGATGTGACATTAATGCCATATCGGATTCGGGTTCCACGCCCGTTCGTAGTGCCTGTTACATGACTCACACGGATATTGGTAAGTCTGATTAACCTATTTATATAATCAAGTGGTTTATTTATTCACATTGCTTGTTAAATTGTCTAGTTAAATTTCTGGTGGAAAACGGTGCTGATATCAAAAAGCCCAACATCAATGGCGGCACCTGCCTTATCAATTCGGTGCAGTCAGTGCAGCTTTGCCTGTATCTGGTGCGCAAAGGGGCCGACATCAATGCTCGCGACATACAGGACAAAACGGCACTACACTATGCCATACAGGAGCACCGGCTCGACACCACCAGAATGCTAATAGAGCAAGGAGCCGATCCATTTGCAAAGAGTCGCTATGGTGACGATGCGCTGCGAACTGCTTGCCTAAAGGGCGCTCATCAGATATTCGACTATTTGAAAAAGGAATTGAACTACTCAGTGGAACGCATCGCCGAGGCACACGAATTGATGGGCTCTACATTTCTTGATGAGCATAATGAGTCACGCGTCTGCATCCTTCACTGGCGAATGGCCCATCACATACGCGCCGCCTATACGCCTTACATTGAGAAGAAACCAAAGGTTCCACTGCGAAAAGCTTATGAGAATGCCGTGGAGTTTGCAACTCTAGAGGAGCTTGACAACATTGCCACGGACATGGATGCAATGCGGACGCAAAGTCTATTGATTTGTGAACGGGTCCTGGGCCTGACCCACAAAGATATGTTGTTCCGTTTGACATTCAGGGGTGCTTCATATGCGGACTCTCTGCAGCTCCAGCGCTGTATCGATCTGTGGCGGTTTTTGCTCGAGGTGCGAGTATCCAATTGGTCCATATTGCATTTCGAGACATGCTTCGCTGCCCAGGCATTGGTGCGTCTAATGCTAGATCTCCATGTACGCAATTCCAGCCACATACGCAGCGATGCACGAGCTCGTTTTATGCATCAGGATAATTTACTGCCCAGATTTGACGATGTATTGGGAGTATTTCGCACGCTCGCTGAAAGCGCTGTCGAGGTCAAGGACCTGCTGCAAGTGCGACCCGTCTTTCGACGCCAGCAGGAGAACTATGACCGAGTATTGCGCTGCCTAGCACATCTCATCTATTTGCTGATAAATACCGTCCACACAGAGGCTCAGCATAAGCTAATATATCATGCTGTTCACGAAACAGTTGTTGTTGGCAACGTGCGAAGCGCCAGCACTGCAGACACCCTGCTCCACTTGGGCGCCTCTCGGCTAAATGTTATTAAAAGCGGTTACATCACAGAAGATAACTTTGCCGATGTGGGTTGATCGCATTCACCCAATGTTTTTCTATTATTAACCATATCATATTGCTGCTTGCAGAAGACTGTGTTCCCCAATGCGGATGTTATTAAATTGCTCATCGAGTGTGGGATTGATGTGAATACAAAAAACGAAGCCAAATCAACGCCCCTACATGTAGCCTGCCAGCCTTACAATTACGACAACGAGGTAAGATAAGAACTTGCATTCGTATGGTATATGCTTAAAGAATTGTTTATATTTTAGATTGTGCATCTGCTACTTAAGTGTGGAGCGGACATCGATCAACCGAATCGGGCGGAGAAGCGACCATACGATTCCATAGCATCCAATCCCACCAACACCATACCGTTGCTCAACTACATCTCGCTGCAGTGCCTATGCGCGACGGTCCTCAGCAAGCATAAGATTCACTATAAGGACCAGTTGCATAAACAGCTTGAGCAATTTGTGCATAACCATGAACCGTGAACGGTGCACCGTGGACAGGACACTTTGGAATGCATGTCTCTGTTAAAATTGTAAAGAAAATGTGTATTTAATTTGGCCATATCTAAATTTTACCAGTGTATTCTCTGTTACTTATTGTCTATCTATTCTATACTATATATAACAAACTATCTCTACCATTGTTAACTTATTCGGCTAAAAGTAGTTTGAAACTCAAATATGATGCACGCCAAAAGGGTACACAAATGGATATGAATATAAGTGAAAGAGTACGTGTAACAGAAGCAAAAAGTGTAAGCGATCAACGTGATATTAAATCTGTATAGGAAAAGGAACTAAATCAGAAATATTTTAGCAAACCTGCAAACAAACTTAACAGAGAGAAAAGCAAGCGACAAGCAAATGTTCTAAGCAGCTGTTCAACTAGTTCATAACAATAAACTTTACACGTTATCTACATTCAGATATATGCCTGAAAAATATACATACATATATATATATATATACGATAACATATATATACATATACATATTATATACTACATACGGTTAGAATAACTAATTTATCACTTGTTAACAAACTGAAATTAAACTCCAATCGCAATATTGTAAAATGTTAGTGGGCCAAAATGGACAACTCATCACACTAGTTGGCTTTAATCATTTATAACTGCTTTAAAAATGTTGCCTATCTATTACGCACCTTATAAAAAATAAAAAAAAAAAGTGGGCAATTGATTAGAAAGCTCACATCAATTCATTTTAATTAATAAGTGTATTTAACTGCTGTTGATAGCAACAGTTGCAGCAACAGAAGAAAGTATATATACACACATAAAGACTATATATGGGCATAATTGAAATCGAATCTAATCAATAATTGCATAGTTTACAGTTTACAGTCAAACAAATGAATCACCTCCAAATGGCCTATCTTGAATTAAATAATACAGATATTGTTCACATACATACAAACATACATATATTAGCTATATTAAGGTATTAACAATCAGGACAAAATGCTTCTGTCTTATGTGAAACTCTGCCTTTATTAACGAGTTATAAATTACAATACTTATGCTTAAATGGGCAGGTATAATACATGCAAACATACATAAATACACACATATACATATATATACATATATATGCAAATTGTGACTGATTGACTTATATTAAAATTAAAACATACAAAAGAGTATCCTTTGGGGCGACAGAAACTGTCAAGGAAGCCAGTCAACATTTACAGTGCCAACGGCATCAGCAGAGCCGTGAGTGTCGTCAGCCACGTTGTGGCCAGGGAATGCCCAGCGTTGCGCAACTTCGTATAGCTGTCGACAATGTGGATCTTCCAGCCCATGTTGCCGTGCGTAAAGGAATTGTAGTATACGGTGTCGGGCCACGTGATGTTGGGCGTAATCTCGAGCAGCGCCGGCGGCTCGTCGCTGCAGATGTTGATCAAGCTGCGGTTGAATTTCTTGAATGTAGGGAAATTGTCATCCAAGCGACGGTCGTAGTGATCCGGATACCGGGACAAACAGAGCGGACCCGCAGCTGTGGGCTTGGGTCGACCACGACGCGTAAACTCTACGCCAGCAAGTACACGAATTTCGCTCTGTTTGGCATCCGACAGCCGATCGTAGCCGCCTTGCGGATCATCCGTTATGACCAGTGGATGGTAGTGCTCCGGCGAATGCGGATTGTTGCCGCCGCGCACCTTAAAGGTGTACGTCAAACCACGCTTTAAATACAGTTCCGGTATCATATAGCCATTGATGTACCAGGCCAAGCCGCTCGACACATGGCCCGTAATGCCCTGATAGCCACGCAGACCGCCCGAGGGGCCCAGATAAGCATTAAAAGTGCGCACGGATCTGTAGGATAGGAAATAAATGTAAATATGGCGATAATTGAGGCATATCTGCGAGCATCTTTGCTTACGCATCCGTAATTCGTGCACGCTCCCAGATCTGCACTGGAGTTTCCGCACGTTTCGTAAAGCTAAAGCAATCGTTCACAGGTTCCGTAGTGTTAAAGTCGATGATTATATCACTCTTGGGATAGTATGTGTGAAACGCTGGCTCATTGTTGGAGTCCAACTGACCAAAGGCCCAAACCACATAGTTGCTGCGATCCAGAAAGATTTCCTTGTCTCCATCATCGGCTGCAAAGAGGGAAATTCATGAATTCAAGTCTATATTGGGGAGAGGGCCACCCACATGACTTTAGTGTGCGCCTAAAGCTGATTGTATTGATGCCATCCTTGCGGGCGTATGTATTCAGCTGAAAGCTGTCCAAGCCGCCTACGACGTCATCTCGGCACACGCCCTTATTCTGACCCAGCACCTGCACGCATGGAGCCAGCGAGGTGATATTGTAGTCAACCGTGTAGCCCCTGATGTCGTCTATATACGCCACGACGACGTCGGCACCAATCATTTGACTAGATACATCGGAGCCTGAGATGCCAAAGGACATGTAATCCGTTTTCGCCACCTGACCGGACAGCTGAAACGTAATCTGCGGTCCGAAGACCTCCCACGACACCTGCAGATCCTTGTGCAGCTGCCGGCAGTTGGGCAGCGAGAACTCATACGGCGTGATCTTCACTAGCGATGGCGGCACATTCAGCCCGTCCGGTATGAGAACATGACCATAGTTTTCGTTGTCGGCCACGTCATAGATGCTAATCCAATCAATGTCGAAGATCGTCTTGTCGCCAGGCAGTTCCAGCATAATGGTTTCCTTATTGTAGGCGCGTATGGGATCGAGGCTGGAATGGAAAACAGAAAATCGTAAACGTTGTTATCGAATCCCATTGTCTAATCTATGACTCACTAGCCCCGCTCGTCCGGAATCTTGCTGCCCCGACTCGACGGCTGAGCACCCACGCCCGTCCAGAAGAACGTGCGCTTGCCACGCCCATCGTACGTAAAGTCCTTAATCCTAATAGTCTTTGAGTCCAAGATCTCGATGCTGCTGCTGCTCACATTGTGGTTGCGCTTGGAGAAGGTGCCGCCAATCTGAGTGCGTGGCGGCTCGAACTCCTCGGGTATATAAACGTCGCCAAAGTTGTTCTGATTATTCAGATCGTAGACCGCCAGCCACTTGATCTCAGTCATTTTCTTGCGATCGGGCAGCGTTAGCGTAAAGTCCTTGTTATGATAACGATCCAAAATGTTGGTTCTGCGGTTATTCAAAATAAAGAGAGGCTTATTTAATTTTCATATCTAATAGTTATTATATGTTTACTCACTTTCCGTACTCGTCGGGCACTATGAAACCTTGCGGACCTGGTCGATTGCTGGCGCCTGACCAAAAGAACGTATCCGCACCGTTGCCATCGTAATTAAAGCCCACTAACAAAAATGTATACTCATTGACAGCGTACACATCACCGGACACCTGATGATGATACGAATTCAGTTTGCCCAAATATTTGCCCCGATACGGACCATCCTCATCTTCGCCTTCAGCTGTAAAACAAAAATATCAAATTTATTTATTTTTATTTACTCAATATTTTTCTCACAGTCTGTAGATTTATTCAAATATAATAAAAACAAATAAATTTATTAATAAACACTTCGAGAGGTTTTTAAGAAAACCCAAATTTTTCAAACGTTGCTGACTAACTCCTCAGTTATTCACGCATTTAATTTACTGCCACTAGAGCAGAGAGGCAAAATCTTTTGTCTCTGCGCTCCCAGTTCCGTTAAACCGGCAAGCAGTCAGCAACAGCAACAGCAACAGCCACAGTAACAGCAGCAGCAGAAACAACAGCAGCAGCAGCAACGGCAGTCAGCAGCGCAGTTCCCAGTGGACATACATAGACCAGTTTCGCTAGTTTCTCACGAAAGTGAATTTGTTTTCGCGCTGCTGTTATTTTTGTGTTTCGTAGTTTTTCTTTAACGTAACAGACATTTAAGTTTCTCTTTCTTTTGCTTGCATTAGGTTTACACTTACACATATGCACACTCATCCACACAGTACTTACTTGCAGCTGTATTGAAGCCAAAGAGGAATAGCGCCACCAGCGCTAATAATAGCTGCTGTCGCAGTCTGCGTCGCAATTGCAGCGCTGCTAGCTTACGGCCTCTGGGAGCACTAACAGGAACTGCTGCAGCGACAGCGCAGTCGCAGCAGTGACAAAGAACGCCTTCTTGTCTTGTCAATGTCATTGCACACGTTTGCGTTGCACTCCCTCTCTCTCTCACTCTCGATGTCTTTTAACTCTCTCCACAGTCAGTTATCCACGTATGTAGATATATTTTGCAAATCGTAGCTTCGCTTTTCACACTCTAATTGATTCCAAATTAATTAAATGCACGCACTACCATTTTCATCAAATATTTTTGATTGTTGGTTGGTATTTTGGCTTTACATTTGCGTCACTTTTCTTGCTTCCGTGACGAATTCTTAGCTTGTAATTGTTACCGCGGATTTTTTTTTTTTTTTCTTAAGGTCGTTTCGTCATTCGCATGCGTTTTGCTTGTTTTGTTATTATTGAAATATGTAGTCGAAAACTGGTTTAAGTCGCAGATCCAAAATCAAACCTGCAGCGAGCCACAAAACCAACCGCACGCTCGAGCTGCTCACGATCGACTGAGCTGAGCGGCCGTTAAATTTTAATTTCTTCTTTACTGCGTTTGCGCGCAAAGCTCTCTGCATGTTCCTCTCTTATGGGCTGCGCATGCTCTGCATTACAATATAGCCAAGCCATGCGTGTAACGGTTTCTATCGCTAGCGCTATATGGAAAATGCGAGGGGAGAAATGAGTAATTCCAAACGAATCAATGCTTAAAATAGCTTGAATATGTAGACTGCAAAGTACAAAACGGAGGATTGACAGTGTGTACACACTTGCATTTGCAATTTGATTTTGAATTAATTTGAATCATCTGACCCCATATTCCATAGTAAAACAACCGTATAAAAGTCGGATTTCTTGCTTGCAAAACTAAACTTCGTACGTTTGCTTTTATTTGATTTACCATTTTTGTAGCAATTCAATAAATCTTTTTTAAAACTAATCAATTGCATTTTTTTCGCTTTTTATGTTTATTTTTATATTTTTTACCTGCAATCGCACATGGATTTTAGTTCATTTTATGAATGTTTTTTGTTTTGTTTTTTAATTATAATTGTTTTGTAACTTTCTGTGTATTCATTGCAAAAATTGTATGCGATTTTATTTACAAAAAGGCGTGTTAAGATTTTATGTTTTAAAAAATGTCCATTGCCTAACATCAAAATAGGCCGCAATTTTTGCAAATCGAATCATTTAATATTTATGGAGAAATTGTTTTCATATTTTGTATGTATGTATGTGTTTGTGTATTTGTCTGAAACAAAATGTACATTTTATGTATTAAAAATATAATTTTTGCTTAAGTTTTAAACGAACTTCACACGGTTTTATTACAAACAAATTATTTTTCACTTTTTTTATTCTTATTATTTTGGGCTTAATGCTTATTTATTTATATATATGTAACTGTTATTCTTCCTGCACTCTATTACTGTATAACTAGTTCATTGAAAATACATATTATTTAATACATAATTTATTTCATAAGAAGCACATTTTGTTTTTGTTATCATTTATGCGTTTACATTCCACTTTTGAACTCGCTTTCAATGCCTGCCACTTCATTTAAATATATATAAATATATATACATATATGTATGTAAATATTTATATATATTGTATATTTATATATTTTTTTTCTTTATAAATACCCTAAGAAAGTCGACCGATTGTGCATGACGGGACGGTGAACTAGTCGAGTAAAACAAATATGACTTTAGGATTATGGAAATAAAAGTCACCAAGTCGAAATGGTATGAGCTATTCATGTATGAACGTATGTTAATCAATGTTGGTCTTGGACGCATGCACGCAAAGGGTAACTAAAAATAGCAATACTTAGCTTAAAACGTAGTGTATAAAAATAAATGGGGTTTTAGCAGGATATTAAATTATAGAAGTTGAGAACACTAATTAAATGTTTAACTTAGGTTGTGATTTTGAAGCTTCCTCAGCAATCTGCTATGTGAGACAGCTGATTTAAATTTTATTTTATTTTATTTTAACTTGTTTTACATTTTCTCTTTTACTCTTAATAGATTAAATTTATTTTTTTTTTTTTATTTTTTTTTTTTTTTCAATGAGCATTTTTATTTATATTTTGCGTGATTCTCATGAGTGATAACAAATAAGGATAAAGGTTGAGGAAAAGGCATGCGCTCGAGTTGTTTTTGGATTGAGATTTAGAATTATATATTAGAGGTGATATTTAAGTTTTTTGTTTTTTTTGTTTTTCGTTTTTAACAGCATGGAATGAACTTGATTGAAAACGAAAGTAGAAATATACAACTAAATAAAGCGCACAACATTTGCTTAAAACATTATTCTTTTATATGATTTCCGATTTTGTTTTTTGTTTTTTTTGTTTTCTTTTTTCCTTTTTTAAACTTAACAAGCGAACATAAAACGAATGAACCTGGTTTCTAATGTATGACAATATGCATTTTGTGATTTTTTATTAGAATATATTATTTTCTGTTTATTTTTATGTTGTTCATTAGAAATACTTGGGCGCGTAATTATGTATACATATAAAAAATCTTGGGGGCACTATGTTGGATAATTCGATTGTTTCTTTGATTACGCTACAATGAAAACTAAATATCTGCTTCATTATATTTCCTTCATTTTTCACTTGTTTGTTTATGTTATCTATGTATAAAAATTTTTATTTATCTTGTATCACTAAGGAAAAATGTTACAAAGCTTTTGCTATGGCATTTATGTGTATGAGTATGAGAGTGTGAACATGTGTGTATGTGCCTGGGCGTGTATGCGTGTGTGTTTATGTATAAGGTCCTGATTAAAGGTTAGATAAACAATATATGGATAATTTGACAGCGCTCTTGAAATAAATCAATCGAATTAACATTTAAATGAAGCGACTGTTGCCACTGTTGCCAAGGCTGTGCCGAGGTCCTAGTAGTTGGCGTGGATGTGTACAATGTTTGCGAATTAAGTTTTAGCTAAAATTTATCCTGAAATATGAACAAATTATTAGTCGCGGCCACTGCGATGATATTCTCTTCGGGGTGCCAGGCGGTGTGCAAGATTTTCTTATTAAAGTCCAGACAATCGACGCTGATTTCATCCTTCTTTCGTTTGCCGCCAGTGCAAACTTTGCGTGGCTTTAGCACCGTCTTGGGCTTTATAATGTCCCTGGATGCCTCCAATGTAACATCCTTTTTCGAGTTGCGATCAAACACACGGAAAAAGTTATTGTAACTGCCGGTCATTATTGAGGTATCCTTGCCATTCCAACAGCACTCGAACTTGTCAAAGATGCAGTCATTCTCATACAGAGAGCACAGCTTGGCCCGAAGATATTCATGTACCTGCAATGAGTATATATTCGATTAGGATTTGATCGGAGAGCGAGAGCCTGATGACTACTCACCGGGTAGGTCTCAATGGGTTTCGTTTCCATGTGCAAGTCCCACACCTTGATGCTCAAGTAGTCTCTGGAGATCATGTAGCGACCTGAATTGCTCAACTTAACGTCACTTATGGAGCTGATTATCTCGCTGAAGAAACTGCGATTCGTTGGATTTTCGGGCTCCTCAAACTGTTTGCTATGGCGATCGCATAGCGCCGCCGATCGCATATCACATAGTCGGATTGTGCCCTTGGAGCTGGAGTAGACAAACACATTGCATTCGGTCGGATGGAATTCCGCAGCGGTGATCACTTCCGTTAGCTCCTCCATGTTGGTTGGCTTGATGTCAACAATATTGTAACTCTGATTGACCACCTCCAGATGCCAGAGGTTGATGCGTAAATCGTCGGCCGATAGGAAAGTCTCTTGATCAGAATTAACGCTAATTGAATTGATGTGATAGGTGTGTGCATTGGCAAAGGTGCGACGTGGCGAGGCCTCCACCATAAGCGGTACTTGCTTCACAGAAGGAACTCGTAAGGCGGTTACATTTTGTGGATCTCTTATCAGACCGTTCTCCTCTTTTGTGTTGTAGCCCTCGAATGACTTGTCGCGCTCACTGACCTTCCACAACTTCACAGTTTTGTCATTGGTGGAGAGCAGAAAGTGCACGGGATTCTTTTGATGGAGCCATCGTATCTTATTGATTTTCTCCTCGATTTCCAGCGATTTGAGATAGTCAAATTCAGGCTCGTGCGATTGGAATGTCGAATAGACATTATATTCACCGCGTCGCGGATTCGCAGTTTTTGAGGCGGGATCACGCTGCAAGCGAATTTAGTTGATTAATTGAATGAGCCACAATTGATAATTGAATTAATATTTACCTGAAAGATGACGACGCGACCGCCCTTATCGCCCGTGGCCAGCAGTTCGCCATCGTGATTGAATTCCACGCAGGATATGATATCCGCATCGGTGACATCATCGTCTAGGGCGCCCTTGATCTGTGAGAAGCACCAGGACGCCTCTCCATTACCTGTCGACCCAGCCGAAAAATGAAAGAGAAAAAGAAGAGGACGAGAGATGTTCAAAAATTAAAAAGAAATATTCAATTTCACAATTTCCCATCACAGCCCATCAGAATGCTCAAATCAAAGGACCAAATAAGTGCTTGTTACATTTGATTTTCCCTCTCGCCCAGACACAATCAATAGCTGTAGCTGCCAGAGGACAACGATGACGTCTGCTGCGTATGTCCTGCTGCCTTGCCTTGCTTCCCTGCCACAGCCTGCCCTGCTCAAATATTTACTAATGACGCCATTTCCAGCCACTGTCCGCATTCAGCTTTTGCCTTTAAATTGCTTTAAGCATTGCTATTGCTGTTGCTACTGCTGCTGCTGGATAGATATATGTGGCTTATTCATGCACCCAGCGATATCCCTCTGCGCCTTCTCTACTCTTCTGTAATATTTAGCAGCCACTTTTTGCGCTTACTGCACGTCGTTGTGTAAACGTTGTGCAAAAGGTTTTCATTTCGCAAATGTTTTTGGCTCTTTTTCCTTTTTTTGTTATATATATTTATCTAGACTTTTCTCGTCCTGTTTCTGTTCTGAGCATTGTTTACAATTTCAATGCATGGCAACATCGAACTTCAATTTCACATATTGCATGTACATTGAAATGTCACGTGAATAACTTTGTGCTCTTAGTAATTCCAGCCAAAAAATAGAACATACTTTATAACAAAATGGGCAACACAGACTTGCTATGTTCGACAGATTTTTTTA